TATTTGATACATTATCTATACACATGTTGGAAAAAAATTATTGAGTTATGTATTTTGATAAAATTTTGATTCTATTTTTAAGAAATTAATATATAAAAATTAATTTTGAAATGATGTAAGCAAATAAATTTATTTTAAATTTTGTATAGTGGAATAAATTTTTTGAATGATAGGATCTTATATTTCATCATTGGCACAAATTATGACTAGTTTATATATAAAATTAATGTATATATACTATATATTTGATAAATATGATATATAATTAATAACATATATTTCAACGGAATTAATTATTTTTTATCCACTTTTTCTCCTAATTTTAGAAGAATTGATTTTAGTGAGTTATAATGATGTTTAATTCATCCACTTTTTTATCCTTTCTATTTTTTTTTTTATCAAATATGATATTTTTTTATCTATTCCTCAAACTTTTAATTTTTTCATTTTTTCATCGTGCAAAAAGAAACATAATTCTTTCTTAAATAGGAACTAATTATAGAGTAAAAGATACAAAGAAGACGCAGTCACTATAAGAACCGTGGAGTCACTCCATTTGTGCCGTTGGATTTCAATAATTGGCAAGCCCAGATCCTCCATTTTTTTATTAAAAAAATTCTCATAGAAGAAAGAAATCTGTTACTGGCATTTTCATTAATATTATATAAGCAATACAGTAATTTTCACATAGTATAATGATGTGTTAATTATAGTTGCACCCTTCAAGTTTATGTCACATTCAATCAATTATCTTTGGTTTTAGTTTCAACAATTTACTCCCTCAAAGTTTGAATATTTATAAATTGAGTCAAGTTGTTATTTTTGATAATAAAAAATGACAGAAATTATTCATTTGTAAATCAAATGATCTCAAATTCCATAAAGAAACAAGATCACCGTTCACATCATTTTTACCTTTTGAATAAGAATGGGGAGATTTTTGACGTGAAGAAAAAATTTTGAGTTCAGAGTAATTTAACATTTTCAATAAATTTGAGATTATGTTACTTAATTTTCATTATTTTTCATTGTATAAACTAATAATTAGACTTAATTGAAAAATGTATAAACTTTGAGAGGGTAATTTATTAAAATTCAAAGCAGAGGGAGTTGATTACAACTTGATCCAAATTTAAAGGGAGCATTTTGTAATTAACACTATAATGATTTGATTAAAGTGTTCATTTCTACTACATTAAAACTTCTTGCAATACTCTTGTTCTAAACACAAGTTTAATCATTAATATCCAAAATTTGGTCATTTAAAAAAAAATCAAAATCAAGACAATATTTTCAAACTCTTATTTACTAGTGATTTTAGTATTTGAAACAAAATTAAAAATCTAAAATACCTTCATATAATTTCAATTGTTCAAATCTAACTTGACTTACTATATCTAGTATTATTATATTATTTCTAAAAAATATTCACTTGACTCTTTGACACGGAATGAGAGGAGGAGACTATAGAGGAGATATCATTATTTTTTTTTTTTTGATTGAAGATATAAAAAAAACATGAGATTTTTTATATTGACCTATGGTGTGTGAATTCTCTTTCGGTTTCAAATTAGGTGTATGTGTATGAATTCTCTTATTCTTTTATTCGGTAAGTAAATATAAAAAAATGGGACAAAACTTACTTAAAAGGACTAAAAAAATATTGGGCCCTGCGCAAATGGCTTAGTTGGCTTTTAAATCAAGCCGTTTTGCGTACGAGGAATGGAATAATGTAGAAAGTGTAATTCGAGACACTATATAGCCTTAGCGTGTGTGATATCCCTTTAATTACTTTGAAATAATAAGATAAAGCTACAGCCAAAAAAATTACAACATTAAAACCACCTTTATTCCTTTTTGAATCTTGATAATTTTATGGGTACAAGTTATAAAAGATATATCCTTTATGAATATCTTAATCTCGACATGAATAACTTATCTTTACTCGTATTAAATATAAGATTAGTTGAAATGCACGTAAACTAACCTAAGATTATTGAATAAATAAAAAAATCCTATTGAAGCAAAACTATCTTGCATCTCATGAATATTCTATTTTTAACATGAATATCTTGTTTTTGATCACACTACGGAAGATATTAGTTAAGGTGCGAGTAACTGAGCTAAATACCCTTGACTGTTAAACAAATAAAAGAATATTATTGAAACAAAACTATCTTATGAATACCCTAATTTCAACGTGGATATCATGTCTTTGATCATACTAAAAAATAAATTAATCGAAATAAGTATAAACTGACCTAAATACTCATAATCGTTGAACAAACAAAAAAATCTTATTGAAACAATTAGACCAATTACCACATTGCCATATGCCACCGCAACATCACAAAGTCCAATTCTAAAGGATAATATTATCGAAAAATATTGGTTTAAAAGTTATTATTATTTTTTAGACTTTATGATTGGATAGTATGTAAAATGAATGTATAAAGTAGTGATCGTGATATTTTAAAAATCATAAGCCGTGGTTCTGTAATTAAATTATATAATGGAGGTGTCATCGGAATTTAGCCATTTGTTTATATTTTTGAGCTACCAAATTCAATTTAAAATTGACAAATTATTATTAGAAGAATTACATTCAGACCATCTGAAATTTGTCATTTAATCACTTAAACCTCCTGACATTTGAAATATTACACACAAACCTCCTGAGATTTGTACGCACATAACACTTAGTTCCTGTTGTAAATATATTCATTAATAAATTACACTTACACTACTCTAAATTTTGTGAGTATATATTACTTAGACTCTTTAAATTTAAAATATTATACTTAGACAAAAAAATACTCTAATTAAATATAAAATATAAAATATTTTAAATTTTACAATCAAAACTCATGTTCTATTGTATCATTTATTGAAGTAAAATTAAAATTAAAAATTTAATTTTTTCTTAAAAAAATCGTAATTAGTATACAATTATACTGTTTATTGAAATAAAACTAAAAAAAAATCAAACAATGGGTATAAGTCATTCATAAAAAAAATTAAACAATGAATCAAAATGTAATGAACACAATATTTTTTAGATTTAATTGAGGTAGTTTGGTATTTTAATTTTGTCGTTTAAACGACTAAATTAAATTATAATAGATAATATAATTGTATATTAATTACAATTTTTAAGAAAAAATTAATTTTTTTTTTGATTTTATTTCAATAAATGATACAATAGAACATGAATTTTTGTTATAAAATTTAAAATATTTGATATTTTATATTTGATTGGAGTATTTTTGGTCTAAGTATAATATTTTAAATTTAAAAAGTCTAAATATTATATACCTATAAATTTTAGGAGATTTAAGTATAATTTATTAACCGATATATTTACAACAAGGATCTAAGTGTTATATNCCTCTAAATTTTGTGGGTATATATTACTTAGACTCTTTAAATTTAAAATATTATACTTAGACAAAAAAATACTCCAATTAAATATAAAATATAAAATATTTTAAATTTTACAACCAAAACTTATTTTCTTTTATGACATTTATTGAAATAAAATCAAAAATAAAAATCNTATAAAATATTTTAAATTTTACAACCAAAACTCATGTTCTATTGTATCATTTATTGAAGTAAAATTAAAATTAAAAATTTATTTTTTTCTTAAAAAAATCATAATTAGTATACAATTATACTGTTTATTGAAATAAAACTAAAAAAATATCAAACAATGGGTATAAGTCATTCATAAAAAAAATTAAACAAAGAATCAAAATGTAATGAACACAATATTTTTTAGATTTAATTGAGGTAGTTTGGTATTNACTCTAAATTTTGTGAGTATATATTACTTAGACTCTTTAAATTTAAAATATTATACTTAGACAAAAAAATACTCTAATTAAATATAAAATATAAAATATTTTAAATTTTACAATCAAAACTCATGTTCTATTGTATCATTTATTGAAGTAAAATTAAAATTAAAAATTTAATTTTTTCTTAAAAAAATCGTAATTAGTATACAATTATACTGTTTATTGAAATAAAACTAAAAAAAAATCAAACAATGGGTATAAGTCATTCATAAAAAAAATTAAACAATGAATCAAAATGTAATGAACACAATATTTTTTAGATTTAATTGAGGTAGTTTGGTATTTTAATTTTGTCGTTTAAACGACTAAATTAAATTATAATAGATAATATAATTGTATATTAATTACAATTTTTAAGAAAAAATTAATTTTTTTTTTGATTTTATTTCAATAAATGATACAATAGAACATGAATTTTTGTTATAAAATTTAAAATATTTGATATTTTATATTTGATTGGAGTATTTTTGGTCTAAGTATAATATTTTAAACTTAAAAAGTCTAAATATTATATACCTATAAATTTTAGGAGATTTAAGTATAATTTATTAACCGATATATTTACAACAAGGATCTAAGTGTTATATATGTACAAAACTTCAAAGAGTTTGTGTGTAATATTTTAAATATTAAAAATCTGAGTAATTAAGTGATAAATCTCATAGGTCTAGATGTAATTCTCTCTTTTTATTATTGTTGAACTTGAACCTACACTGGGAAAGATGGGCGAAGCTCCATCAAAATCACCTGAATACGATAGAAGACCAGATATCGCGATAAATTGGACGGCACATATCTTCTATTTAAAGACAAAACTACCCTTCATCATCGAAACAAGGACAGCACACCCGTACAAGCAAAATGAAAGAGGGAGAGAGAGAAAGAGACGCTTTGTCAGTACAGAAGGTTTCATACATACTTTCATCACTGCTTCTTTCATTCAATACGTCTCTCTTTTTCTCTCTCTCTCCATCCACACGCACGCACTCATAGTCAGAAGAGCCTTCAAACAAAATATTCTCTTTTTTCTCGCCCATACCTATATCTGTATCCACACAGCTGTGTGTAGTTTTATTTTATATTTATGTCTATGCCTTGTATGATTCTTCTGGTACATCTTTGAGTAAACTCGACCGAGTTATGGGGTGTTGTGAATCGTCTTTCTTGAATGAACCTCTTTCAGAGAAGGAACAACGCTGCGGCCAGACCCATTCGCATCCGTCAAATGGTGCAGCTACTGGTGGCGCCGCCGGAGGAGACGAAGTCCCTGGCGGTGTACCGGCCTTCTCCGAGTTTTCACTTGCCGATCTTAAAGCGGCTACCAACAACTTCAGCTCCGACTTCATTGTCAATGAGAGCGGCGAAAAAGCCCCAAACACGGTCTACAAGGGGCGTCTACAGAATCGCAGGTGGATCGCTGTCAAAAAATTTTCTAAAATGGCCTGGCCTGATCCTAAACAGTTCGCGGTATTGAATTTTATTTTATTTTAAAATTTTGATTTTGTGGATGATTCTATTGAAAATACGGTTTAATTTGATGTTGTTTGTTTGATTCTTTTCTTTAAAGGATGAAGCATGGGGGGTTGGGAAGCTGAGACATAAGAGGCTTGCGAATTTGATTGGATATTGCTCTGACGGTGATGAGAGGTTGCTTGTTGCTGATTATATGCCCAATGATACACTCGTGAAACATCTATTCCACTGTATGTGTAATTGAATTGGAACCAATTCTTGCTTCACTTGCTGCTATGTTAATTTAATAATTAATTAGTTCACAATTCTGAATGGGTTTGCCATACAAGGGTTGCAATGAGTTTTATTACATCGTCGGCAGGCTTGTTATTAGTTTTGCTATGTAGTAAGGAGTCTGGTACAAAACACGAATGAAAAAAATTTAGCCAAGGGTACAAAAAATTTTCCCGAACCTCCATCAATGGAGGGTAAATTAAGTGTAAATTTCACACACAAAAAGAAAAAAAATTGGTTCAACTATGAGAAGTATATTAAGATCAAGACTTAATTACTATATGAAATTTGAATCCAAAATCAATTTAGTATGAAGTCATAAACAAAATATGAATAGACGAAAACAATAATATTTTTATACCTCATTTTACTCAATTATATTAGAGAGAAACACCACAACGTTGTTTCACATCCCAAGAATTGTTTATAATTTATTTTTTCTAATGCAAATTTCTAAGCAATTCCTTTTAACCATGTTGAAAAATTGTTATATTTGGAAGGGTGGCCATGTTTAAAATCTCAAGAATCGTAATTGATAAATTCTATGATAAATTTCTATGTAATTTCTTTTTAATCTTGTTGAAAAATCGATATTTTTTAAAGGGCATAAACACTTCGGGGTTAGCATATTTTATCATTTGCATCTACTTATGTGTCACTGGATTATGGGTCACTTACATACAAAAAAAAGAATTGGGACAACTACACAATTATATTTAACAAAATGTTAGAAAGTATATTAAATAACAGAGTAATTGTCTTTTGGTCAATATATATGAGTTAATAAATTTCACAGTTGTTTTACTCAGTCCAATAACAAAATATTCGTTTTGTAATTATGTATGTTTGCAATCTTTGTAATTATGTATGTCTGCCACATGTTATCAGGGAAAAATTATTGTTGACTACTATAATCTTTTAGTCTTAAAATTCACAGTAGATAACTAAACATAAGATTTTATCACCATATAGTACTAAATTTCATAGGAATATATAATTATATCTATACTTGTGATAAATTATATAATTTGCATATAAGGCATAAGTATTTGTAACATATTCTCGATGAATTTGAGTCTTATTTTTTTTAGAAATGTCATGTCCGCATGTCTGTGTCATGTCTTATAGGTGTCTTGTGTTCGTATCCATACTTCTTTGCATATACATAATCCCTCAAAAGTCAGAGGGGGCAACTGCCCCCTCTACAACACATGTAGCTCCACCCCTGCTGACAGGAGCTCCTTCTAGTAAGGGAATGATTGTTTTACTTTCCTCTTGCTTCTGGATGTTTGCAACTTATATTGGAGTGTGCATAATAAGTAGCCAGAGGTTTGGAGATGTTTTCATGTATTTTTTAGAACATTTAGACCAGGGGAAGGCAAAGTCCAAATTTACATTGGTTATCAACCATACTTCTGTAAAAGTAAGTTACGTGTNAAGGGTGGCCATGTTTAAAATCTCAAGAATCGTAATTGATAAATTCTATGATAAATTTCTATGTAATTTCTTTTTAATCTTGTTGAAAAATCGATATTTTTTAAANTAGGGTGGCCATGTTTAAAATCTCAAGAATCGTAATTGATAAATTTCTATGTAATTTCTTTTTAATCTTGTTGAAAAATCGATATTTTTTAAAGGGCATAAACACTTCGGGGTTAGCATATTTTATCATTTGCATCTACTTATGTGTCACTGGATTATGGGTCACTTACATACAAAAAAAAGAATTGGGACAACTACACAATTATATTTAACAAAATGTTAGAAAGTATATTAAATAACAGAGTAATTGTCTTTTGGTCAATATATATGAGTTAATAAATTTCACAGTTGTTTTACTCAGTCCAATAACAAAATATTCGTTTTGTAATTATGTATGTTTGCAATCTTTGTAATTATGTATGTCTGCCACATGTTATCAGGGAAAAATTATTGTTGACTACTATAATCTTTTAGTCTTAAAATTCACAGTAGATAACTAAACATAAGATTTTATCACCATATAGTACTAAATTTCATAGGAATATATAATTATATCTATACTTGTGATAAATTATATAATTTGCATATAAGGCATAAGTATTTGTAACATATTCTCGATGAATTTGAGTCTTATTTTTTTTAGAAATGTCATGTCCGCATGTCTGTGTCATGTCTTATAGGTGTCTTGTGTTCGTATCCATACTTCTTTGCATATACATAATCCCTCAAAAGTCAGAGGGGGCAACTGCCCCCTCTACAACACATGTAGCTCCACCCCTGCTGACAGGAGCTCCTTCTAGTAAGGGAATGATTGTTTTACTTTCCTCTTGCTTCTGGATGTTTGCAACTTATATTGGAGTGTGCATAATAAGTAGCCAGAGGTTTGGAGATGTTTTCATGTATTTTTTAGAACATTTAGACCAGGGGAAGGCAAAGTCCAAATTTACATTGGTTATCAACCATACTTCTGTAAAAGTAAGTTACGTGTTATTTGCTTGTAGAATCTTGCCGTGCTTGGTGCATGGTAAAAGCTTGAATTGCCGAGTATGAGGGTGCAGGTTCAAGTCTGAGAGCAACTATTTTGTGCTATTTTTCTAAAGGTTAGGTCTTTCTCTAGTATACTCTGAGCACCGTGCATTGATAGCATCTGTAATGGCTACTGTCTGGCCTTTTCTGTTTATTAAAATGGAAAGGCAGTTCAACAAGATGAGGGGTATAGTGTACGGTGTGCTTTGCAACTAGCTAATACATATTAAGTCGAAGGAACATATTGCACATTGATCTTAACGTTTGCTATGCTTTGTGGTGCTCAGGATGGTTGGAATGCCATCATTTTTGTCCCTTTGTGCCACGTTTAGTGTTATGCTCATAGTAGTGCTAGATGCCTTTTCTTTTGGTCAACGGAATCCATCTTCACCTGAATTCTGAGCCAGTAAAGTAACAAACTTCAGTCAAGACAGTGTCATACCATCTTAGCCTTTTCATTCAGTTATAATTATGATCTTGCTTATTTGTTGCTTAAGTTGATATATGTGTTGTGGAAGTGGGTATTAAAGGCTCGTCATCATTTCTTTCACAGGGGAGAATCAAACCATCGAGTGGGCTATGCGTTTAAGAGTTGCTTTGTATATTGCAGAAGCATTGGATTATTGTAGAACTGAAGGTCGTCCATTGTATCATGATTTGAATGCTTACAGGGTTCTCTTCGATGAGGTGTAATGGATCCCTTTACTCCACTTTGAAGATATCTATTATATGTTTTTGCAGATATTAATTATCTGATTGTCTAAAACATATTTGCTTGCACCAAGACTAATATCACAGTGTCTATTGGTTTCAATGGAAGTGATGTGGTAATATGGTGGATGGTTTGTGCAGAATGGTGATCCTAGGCTTTCATGTTTTGGCTTGATGAAAAATAGCAGGGATGGCAAAAGTTATAGCACAAATCTTGCATATACACCTCCTGAGTATTTAAGAAATGGTACTTATTTCTTTTTCTTGTTCTGATTCGCATCATATATCTTTTGTGTGTTGTTCACTCCAATAGTCATANAGGATGTTTGCAACTTATATTGGAGTGTGCATAATAAGTAGCCAGAGGTTTGGGGATGTTTTCATGTATTTTTTAGAACATTTAGACCAGGGGAAGGCAAAGTCCAAATTTACATTGGTTATCAACCATACTTCTGTAAAAGTAAGTTACGTGTTATTTGCTTGTAGAATCTTGCCGTGCTTGGTGCATGGTAAAAGCTTGAATTGCCAAGTATGAGGGTGCAGGTTCAAGTCTGAGAGCAACTATTTTGTGCTATTTTTCTAAAGGTTAGGCCTTGCTCTAGTATACTCTGAGCACCGTGCATTGATAGCATCTGTAATGGCTACTGTCTGGCCTTTTCTGTTTATTAAAATGGAAAGGCAGTTCAACAAGATGAGGGGTATAGTGTACGGTGTGCTTTGCAACTAGCTAATACATATTAAGTCGAAGGAACATATTGCACATTGATCTTAACGTTTGCTATGCTTTGTGGTGCTCAGGATGGTTGGAATGCCATCATTTTTGTCCCTTTGTGCCACGTTTAGTGTTATGCTCATAGTAGTGCTAGATGCCTTTTCTTTTGGTCAACGGAATCCATCTTCACCTGAATTCTGAGCCAGTAAAGTAACAAACTTCAGTCGAGACAGTGTCATACCATCTTAGCCTTTTCATTCAGTTATAATTATGATCTTGCTTATTTGTTGCTTAAGTTGATATATGTGTTGTGGAAGTGGGTATTAAAGGCTCGTCATCATTTCTTTCACAGGGGAGAATCAAACCATCGAGTGGGCTATGCGTTTAAGAGTTGCTTTGTATATTGCAGAAGCATTGGATTATTGTAGAACTGAAGGTCGTCCATTGTATCATGATTTGAATGCTTACAGGGTTCTCTTCGATGAGGTGTAATGGATCCCTTTACTCCACTTTGAAGATATCTATTATATGTTTTTGCAGATATTAATTATCTGATTGTCTAAAACATATTTGCTTGCACCAAGACTAATATCCCAGTGTCTATTGGTTTCAATGGAAGTGATGTGGTAATATGGTGGATGGTTTGTGCAGAATGGTGATCCTAGGCTTTCATGTTTTGGCTTGATGAAAAATAGCAGGGATGGCAAAAGTTATAGCACAAATCTTGCATATACACCTCCTGAGTATTTAAGAAATGGTACTTATTTCTTTTTCTTGTTCTGATTCGCATCATATATCTTTTGTGTGTTGTTCACTCCAATAGTCATACTTCCTCTCAGTTTTGAGGCCAATTACATTAGGCCTTCTGATGCAGAGATATTATATTTTAAATGTTCCATGACATATGTATTGTCATGCAGGGTGTTTAACATGAAATTTAAATGCTGTGTCATTGATCCTAATCAGGCCAAAAAATTGGGGCAAGCCTTGCGCATATGCAAGGTATGCCAGCGTAAGAAAGCCCTAAATCAACATCATTGTCGAATAACAGAATTTATTTTTAATAATCAACAGCAGAAAAGAATTCCAACTGTGTTATAAACTAGCATTGACAACTACAAAATAAGATCGTAGACAACAGATCTTTATTTACATTTATCTACTGCGTTTTCACTTACCTATGTTTTGAAAATTTTCTTGTGTCAACTGTCAAGGACCAAGACTTGTGGAGTTGAGTTGAGTAAACTTCCTGACTTGGCTTGCCTTCACTTTCTTTACTCTTTCTCTTTTTTNATTTTCACTTACCTATGTTTTGAAAATTTTCTTGTGTCAACTGTCAAGGACCAAGACTTGTGGAGTTGGGTTGAGTAAACTTCCTGACTTGGCTTGCCTTCACTTTCTTTACTCTTTCTCTTTTTTTTTTGGTCCACATTTTGAATTGAATGAGGTGGACTTTAAGAGACTCTTAGTGAACAGAACTTCCATGATATCATTTTTGTATGAGTGACACGGTGCTGATTGATAGCTCTGAAGGCCATTGTAAAGTCCTGAAAGGTTATATCGTCCATACAATGCCATTTGTAGTTGCGAAAGGAGTTACCAATATGATAACATTGTCTTTATTCTGTGGTATGCGATGTTACCTTGTTTAGCACTCATCAGTGAACTATAGCTATCTGCATAATGTCAGGCATTGATCCTACAATCTCATATGCTGCATAGAATTTTGGGCTTTAATTTCTTGGTCTTTTTATGTTGGACTGCAACAGCTAAAAAGTCTGGGCATATAGATTCAGCGAAAACAAATGCCTGGTAGAGTTATTACCACTTTGGAAACTTAGAATCAAGGTAGGGTTGTCTACCGTGGCACATTTGGTGAAAATTGATTGTAAAGTATTAATGCACTCCCATAACTCTATCGAAAGATGAGCTAGTCAGTTCTTGTGTATGAAAAAGCGTTGCTCTGTTGGGTTATATTGCATGACATCTATTATGGGCTACATGCATAACTAATTTTCTTTTCCTTTTTGTTTGTGTATCATATACTTTCTGTGATAGCAATATCACGTTCTTTTAAAATATGCGTTACTTGCCTGAGAAGAAATTACCTGTGTTTTAGGGAGGGTTACTCCGGAAAGTGTTAGCTTCAGTTTTGGTACCGTCCTTTTGGATCTTCTAAGTGGAAAGCATATCCCTCCAGGCCATGTAAGTATTATGCAACTTACGTCCTATCTTTGGTTTTGTTGTGCAAGTGTTCTTTCCCTAACCTTTTCTTCAGTTTGGGACTTTTAGCACCATTTCCCAAGTCACTGGGAATATGTCTTGCATTCAGGCTCTTCTTGTTCCTTGGCACCTTCAGTTTACCTAAAGGAGCTAGGGAAGATGGTAGAATATTTTAACTGTGACAACCCACCAGCATAGCCTGCTTCTTTATTTATTTTTTTGGGCTATTACAGAGCCTGCTTCTTCTTTTTGCTATTGCAAAGCCTGCTTCTTTGTAAAGACTGGTCTAACCCGTATCTACATTATGTCTTACANCTGAGACAATACTATTACATGATACGTATAAACTCCGAGTCTTGTACGACTTGACTGAGTTATCCGAGTTGTATTCGAGTCAATCCCGAGTCGCCGAGTAATCGCCGCCAAATTGGCCGATATGGTTCTACGATGGCATGATATGACTAAAATTTTTTGTCATGTTCAACATTTTCTCTTAGGTCGTATGTGTTTTAGATCTCTCCGAGTCGATGGTTGATATTGTGAACTTGAACCATGGTTGGTTTTCCTAGCCGTATAAAAAGGTTTTACCCGCAGGCTCAGCACTGTTTTCCCTTTTACTTTCCCCACATCTTCTTCTTGTTGTGTGTGTTTTCTGTTCATTTGTCTGTGTGGGGTNATGGTTACTTTTGGTTTTATGGTTCAGAGTATCGGCCGATACCATACAAGTCGGCCTAGTCGTATCCGACTCTATGCCTTTGGAGACAATACTATTATATGATACGTATAAACTCCGAGTCTTGTATGACTTGACTGAGTTATCCGAGTTGTATTCGAGTCAATCCCGAGTCGCTGAGTTATCGCCACCAAATTGGCCGATATGGTTCTACGATGGCATGATATGAATAAAATTTTTTGTCATGTTCAACATTTTCTCTTAGGTCGTATGTGTTTTAGATCTCTCCGAGTCGATGGTTGATATTGTGAACTTGAACCATGGTTGGTTTTCCTAGCCGTATAAAAAGGTTTTACCCGCAGGCTCAGCACTGTTTTCCCTTTTACTTTCCCCACATCTTCTTCTTGTTGTGTGTGTTTTCTGTTCATTTGTCTGTGTGGGGGTTTTTTTTTTTTTTTTTTTTGGGGGGGGAGGGGATGGTTTTATTTTGCGCTTCTAATTTGCTGTTCTTTTCTTCATTGCTCAGCTTGCAAAAGCACTTTTCAGAAAAACAGTCATTTGCCTTTGCTTGATTAATTTAGGGTTCATGGAAATACTAATTAGCTTTTATTTAGCACTTTGAAAATCATAAAACTGTGCTTGCAGGTTCCATCTTATGTGATGCTGGGGATTCCAAAGCATGAGGAAGCACCACCTACTCCACAACATCATCTTTCTGCAATGGGTGATGCCTGTTCCCGAATGGACCTAACTGCTATCCATCAGATTTTGGTGAGGACACACTACAAAGAGGACGAGGGAACCAATGAGGTAGTTCATTAATGAAGATGGATTGGCAAATGTCTCTTTTCAGTTTTTATGCTAAACTATACAAGTGGACATTGGTCGTTACAGTTATCTTTCCAAGAGTGGACACAGCAAATGAGAGATATGTTGGAGGCAAGGAAACGTGGGGACTTGGCATTTCGTGATAAAGACTTTAAAATTGCCATTGATTGTTACTCTCAGGTATGCCCTTTTGTAATTTCACTTCGGTTTACTATTTGGGATTGATTCAGAAAATAAGGTTNTACTGTTTGGGATTGATTCAGAAAATAAGGTTCATAGGCATATTTTTATTTTATTTTTGTGTACAGGGTAACAAAAATTAGAAGTAAAATGCTAACTGCATAATCCACCATACTCTGTTTTTTTGCTGGATTGAGATGATAACGAGTATAAATATAGATTGTGTTAGGTTGTAATNACTATTTGGGATTGATTCAGAAAATAAGGTTCATAGGCATATTTTTATTTTATTTTATTTTATTTTTGTGTACAGGGTAACAAAAATTAGAAGTAAAATGCTAACTGCATAATCCACCATACTCTGTTTTTTTGCTGGATTGAGATGATAACGAGTATTTAAATATAGATTGTGTTAGGTTGTAATCTGCTACGGTCTTCATTGAGGACTCATTTAAAAGTCTATGATATTGTAAGATGAGAGATTTCCTGTTGGTCTAGTCAAGTCCTGCAATCAATCGACCAATTTCTTTGTTGAGGAATATGTAATAATGCTGGTCCCAAAGTTGACTATCCATGATTTTCACTTTGTTACACAAATACAAACAGTTATATAACCAAACTGCTAACAAAATGTTAAAGAAAGTTCTTGTTATGCATTGTATTTTTTTCTGTGGATGCATGAATTGGAGGGATAGGGGAAAAGTGATGCAATCACTCAAAGCCATCTCTTTTTGGGTAAGATATCGTTTTTATGTGCAGTTTTTGGATGTGGGCACCATGGTTTCGCNCATGAATTGGAGGGATAGGGGAAAAGTGATGCAATCACTCAAAGCTGTCTCTCTTTGGGTAAGATATCGTTTTTATGTGCAGTTTTTGGATGTGGGCACCATGGTTTCGCCAACTGTTTATGCACGGCGTAGTCTCTGTCATCTCATGTGTGATCAACCAGATGCTGCTCTCCGAGACGCAATGCAAGCACAATGTGTCTATCCAGATTGGTCCACTGCGTTTTATATGCAGGCAGTTGCTCTTTCCAAGCTAGACATGCACCAGGATGCAACTGATATGTTGAATGATGCTGGTGCACTAGAAAAGAAGAGGCAACGAGGTGGGAGAGGACCATGAGTGCCCAGTGTATCAATTTTTTGTAGTCATGACTCGATCAGTTGTTGTGTTTAGTTATTGTCACAAATGCATTGTTTGTGTATAATTACTTTTGGGAGTGCGGTTGTCGTTGAAAGATGTACACCACAGCAAGGGTGATGCATGTATTCTCTTATGGTAAACAGTGATGTTGATTGTTCTCAAGGATTTGTCAAAATAATTAATTGCTTTTCAAATGATTGGAAATATGTATATGGAATTTGTTACACAGCATGGAATTGAGGCTGAAGACTGCAATTAGGCAACATATAACTCAGCCTTGCCATCAATGAAAAGGCTCATGAACTCTTCACCATCAACAGTCTCTTTCTCTATTAGGAGTTGAGCAAGCTTGTGTAGGATGTCAATGTGGGTTGTCATGATCTGCTTGGCCCTTGAATAGGCGGTCTCTACCAGCTCCCTCACCTCAGCATCTACCACATCAGCAGTTGCCATGGAGTAATCTTTCTGAGATGACATCTGCAATCAAGTCACACAGAATAGTGTTGGTTACACATGCAGAAACTAACCTGACTTACATGAGCCAAGCACAGCAATGACTTACCTGTTGACCTAAGAAGGGATTTCCACCAGGTCCTCCAATGGCGACTTGCCCAATCTTTTTGCTGAATCCAAATCTCTCGACCATTTGCCTTGCAACCCTTGAAACTTGCATGAAGTCATTTGATGCTCCCGTCGTTACATTCTCTTGGCCGAAAATAACCTCTTCAGCCACCCTGCATGAGCAAGGAGGGTGAGGAAGAGACAAGTCAGACCCACAAGAGGCTTGAATTTGATCAGGGTCACACATTCAAAAACATTTCAAAGAGAAGGAAGTTTTTAGAATGCCTGAAGCCAAGTTCCCAAGTTTTAGGAAAGGTAGATGTATGTATAACTAACCTTCCACCAAGTGCAACAGCCATCTGATTCTCCAGGTAGCTTCTACTGTACAGCCCGGACTCAAGCCTCTCTTCACTTGGAGCAAAAAACGTGAGACCACCTGCTTGGCCACGAGGAATGATGGAGATCTTGGCTACAGGATCATATTCAGGCATCAGTGCACCAACCAAAGCGTGGCCTGCCTCTGCAATTCAAAATGCCAATATGCAGTTAACACACCCACAAAATAATCAGAATAAAAGCAAGAACAACATAAAGATGCTTGTTTATGTTTTACATACCGTGGTACGCAACCAACTTCTTTTTTTCATCTGAGACAACAGCATTTTTCTTCTCTGGACCAGCAATTATTCTCTCCAAAGCATCTGATATTTCATCTTTGCTTATTTCCTTAAGGTCACGCCTGGCTGCAAGTATGGCTGCTTCATTCATCAGGTTTTGCAAATCAGCTCCTGTGAAACCTGGTGTTCTCCGGGCAATCTTTTCGAAGTCCACATCCTTTGCTAGTGCCTTTCCTCTGGAGTGCACCTGTCATAGAGAAGGGTATTGATTGGTTAACCAAAGGAATGAACAAAAAGCATGATTGTGATTACCAATGTTCTCGGACTGGATGCTACATGAACAACCCTTTTTTGGACACAATTTATGCACAACTTGAAGCAGTAAAGATTTGAACAGCGTCCCAGCTGCTGAACAGATATAGGAACACACATTGGCAAAGTAGCAGAGAGCCGTACGGGCATAATACCAGATTGATCATCAAATACAAACATGTGTTCCTCTGTGAAACAGCATTTGGCAATACCATCTATAGGACTGATGGACCCTGATTTATAGATTAGACCCCCAAACTAAATAAGAAAAATATTACTAGTCAATTGCCCTATTTCTACAATTTGTAGTATTAGAATTTGGACTAGTTCTTCTTTCAAAATTTTTTCTCTTGTCGACTACTATAATTATTAGCCTTCCATATATAGCTTGGACATGCTGATGAACACTACAATATCTAAAGAAAGCTAATGACGAAACAAGTGATAAGAGCTCTTGAGCATAGCTAGCTAACCTGAAGGATCTTGACTCTNCGTCGACTACTATAATTATTAGCCTTCCATATATAGCTTGGACATGCTGATGAACACTACAATATCTAAAGAAAGCTAATGAAGAAACAAGTGATAAGAGCTCTTGAGCATAGCTAGCTAACCTGAAGGATCTTGACTCTACCAGCAACATCAGGCCTATCCACGGTAACCTGTCTATCAAACCTTCCTGGCCTCAGCAATGCTGAATCAAGAACATCCGGTCTGTTAGTCGCAGCCAAAACAATAACACCCGAATTACCCGAAAAACCATCCATCTCAGTCAAAAGCTGATTAATGGTCTGCTCTCTTTCATCATTCCCACCTCCGAGTCCTGCCCCTCTCTGCCTCCCCACTGCGTCAATTTCATCAATAAACACAATGCAAGGGGCTTTGGATTTGGCCTTCTCAAACAAATCCCTCACCCTAGAAGCACCCACACCCACAAACAATTCCACAAACTCCGAAGCTGCACACGAAAAGAATGGCACACCGGCCTCGCCGGCAACTGCCCGGGCCAAAAGGGTCTTGCCGGTGCCGGGTGGTCCAACCAAAAGACACCCTTTTGGAATTTTAGCTCCTAAAGCAGTGTACTTATCAGGGTTTTTCAAGAAATCAACCACTTCTTGCAATTCCAATTTGGCTTGATCAGCTCCGGCCACATCGCCAAATGTGACACCGGTCTCTGGAACCTCCTGAAACTTAGATTTAGACCGACCAAAGTCCATTGGCCCGCCCAGTCCGCCAGGCCCACCCGGCCCTCCCTGGGCTCGCCTGAATAGAAAGAACAATCCGGCAAAAGCAAGAACTGGAAACAACAAATTCCCGATAAAGCCGAACAACCCATTACCAGAATCACCTTCAGAGACCGAAATATCGACTCCATTCATTGCCAAAATGTCAATTAAGTCAGGGTCATTGGGGACAATTACGGAGGCTCTACGGCCATCAATAGCAGTGAGTTGGAGGGCACCTCCGTCTTTGCTGAATCTAACCCTTTCAACTTTGCCCTTTTTCACAGCGTTCAAGAACTCGCTGTATCGCCATTGACTACCATCCGGGAGGTCAGACGTAGACTGGGTTTGGGGTTTTGGAGCTGTTAAGAGAAGGTTTTGAGAAAAGGGCGACGGGTTTGGTTTGGATTCTTCAACTTGAATTACGGGTGGTGGACTCTGTGGAGTGGTGCTATCCAGGGCTAGGGCTTGCGGGGCTAGTGAAGAGAAGAGCAGGGCAGCTAAAGTGGCCTGTGACGGTATGTTTTTTAGGGATTGGGAATTTGATTTTCTGCTGAGAGTAGATTGAGTCACCGGAAACTTTCTAAATGGCAAAGATTTGGTTGTCTTGGGAGTTGGGGGTGAGAGAAAGATTTGGGTACCCAAGTAGTTTGAGGAGAGTAAGGGGTTACTGATGGAAGCCATGAGGTTGGATTGGTTTCAGAGTACCGTTCCTTCTCTCTCTCTCTTACGGGAAGACGTGGGACGAGTAAGTCTGAAAGTTCAATTATGGATGGGTAGATGAATATGAAGTTGGGAAGATGATCAAACTTGGCTTCATGCTCCAAAGCAAGCCATAGATTAGGGTGTTACTTGGATTGCTTCTACGTGTTTTGAATGCTAGCCAGTCGTGTTGGTTTGATTTTTACCGAGAAAACTCCACATAAGTCTTTAATTTTTTTTTATATATCAATTTAACCTTTAAATTCTTTAATTATATCAATTAAATTATTTTGTCAGTCTTCATTAAATTTTTTAATTAAAAATAATAGAATGCGTTACCCATATAATTGAATTACAACTCATTTGTATCGCATAAGAAAATATGTCAATCATGTTAATTATATATAACATAATACATAGAACACATGTGCATATATGATGCCTGAATTATATTCTAAGATTTACACGTTTTTCAGAAAATAATTATTAAACATATAATTTTGGAAAAATTATTTGTTAATTAGTCATATTTTTATAAATAAGTAGGATCATGTATACGCATGCAATAAAATTTCTAGAAATTGCATTTGACCTTGAAAAAGTGTGAAACACGTAAAACTAGAAATAGAATTCTCCGGATTCTTTATTGAGAAGTAAAAAAAAAAAATAGAAATTGATTTACTCGAGGTTTATTGTGAGAGCGGAACATTTGAAATGCCGGTGGACAGAAAAGGATTTGTAGAATTTGAGTTTTGGAGAAGAAGTAAACAAATTAAATCTTATTATTTGGTTTTGGGGAAAAAAAAAAGAAAAATTGGAGGGTATACTAAATTAGACTTAATTGTACAAAAATACACAGAAAAAAATATTGAATAATTAAATCTTTAAATTTGATACTTATTTGTATCTAAATATATTATTTAAATTTTACTGATTTTTTTGTACATTTTTGTCCTCTATTGATTTATTTGTATTTTCTTTGGAAAGTAGTGCATTAAATATCTCCTAATTTTATGGGAGAACTTTAATATTCCATATTTGTATGTTCTCTCTTGATTTATGCGTATTTTTTTTTAAAGTAGTTTTGTTTTCAAATTATATTTAATGCACCTTAATGCATGCGTATTTGATGATCACGTGTGATAATTAAATCTTTCAAATTATATTTAAAGCATGCTTTTTTTTTTTTTGGAAAGTAATTTTGTTTTCAAATTATATTAATATCCGAACAGTGTAACAAGTCATTTATACAAAATATTATATTATTACATTTTGTCAAATATATATTTTCATATAATTTTATTCAAAACAGTCCATCTCCGTTTTGAATTTGTTACCATATGCACAAAATTACTGAACACTATTTTTGTTACAGTGTATTGTAACACTTTCTTTATTACAATGTATTTGTTATACTATTTTTGTTATACTATTATAAAATTCGGATATTAACAAATTTTGAAATTCAAACAA